CCCTCCGGCCGCCTCTCCTCGTCCTCGGACCCTTCCTCCGCTGCCCCTGCTTGCGCCTCTGCAGCCCCGGGCTCCTCCAGCTCCTTCTTCCACAGGGGGATCTTCACGCCTGCGGGCGGCCGGGAGAGGGTCAGTGTAGGAATCAGGGTCCCAGGACCCTGATTGTTGCCCACCACCAACCCCCATGTCAGGTGGGACGCTGAGGATGGTGCAGAGCGGCACAGGCCCGAAGGACGCGCAGAGGGTGGCAGAGGGTGCAGGCTTTCCTGGGCAGGGAGTTCCTGTACTTCCTAGCCGAGGGTTTGGGGCAAATCTAGCTTGACGAACTGCATCTCCCCCACTGTAAAATGGGGGGAAGTAAGGCCTACCTCGGGGTTACTGTAGGCCCCTATAAGATGGCATCTGTGTAAAGCACCCAGCCCAGGCCTGGGCCGTGGAAGTCACCAAGGACAGGAGCAGTGAGGGCTGTGAACCCCCTTCCTCTTCAGTGGCCTGGGTATCCACTCTGCCTACTGTCAAACATAAGCTGGAATGCTCTTCGGTTCCCTTTGAAAGCCCTTCTTCAACATGGGTGTTGTGGGGCCTCCCTGGTGGCGCAAGGGGTTAAGTTGAGCACTACGAAGCTATCTGCCGCCACTGAAACACAAATTCAATTCCCAGCCCAGGGAGCTGACCCACATGGCGCCGCAGACCTCTCCTGTCTCACCCACTGCTCCCCTCAGCAGTGTACTTCATCAATCTGCCTGTTCTGCTCCCCACTCTGTCTCTGGTGAATCCTGTCACCCTCCACATCTCTGGCCTACACCCCAGCTCTTGTAAGCAAATGTAAACAAATCTTTAAAAAAAAAATTAAAAACCAAAATGGGTGTTGCCTTCGGGAAGCACAACATCACCTGTGGTACGAGGATCAGGCAGGTGACACAGCACCTCTGCATGATTAGAAAAAACTGACTTCAATGAGCAGAACAATCAGAAAAAGTGCCCCTTATGGGGAGACTAAATAGAGCAAGACCTTCCACCAGGGCAAACCAGTTAGGAGAACAGCCTGCCCTGGGGTGAACTCATCAGGAAATGAGTTTTCCTCCTTTAGGCTTGGCCCCAACTGTCACCACTGTCCCCTCTTGCTGGTGCCTCTGTTCAAGGCACAAATTCCAAAGGCCCAAGCAGTACCCACCCACCCACTCCCACCCTGAGGCAGGAAGCTCAGGGCTCCTGAGAGAGTAACAAGGCCTCGGCTGGGTGGCGTCTCCCTCCCCCCACAAACACCCAGAACCACCATGTGCCCTGCCGTATGCTGGGTCTAGGCTTGTACAGAAAAGAGACAGGAGGCCAGTAGGTTTTAAATGCCGGGAATTGCCTTGAATAATTAAGAAAAATGTCTATTGATCCTGCTCCATAATGTTTAGAGAGGTTAGGGGCAAAAGGGAATGATACTATAATCGGTATTCTAGCCACATGTAGTAGACACCAATTGCATACAGCCACTGTCACCCTCACGCCCCTCCAAGCCAGGCCATGAAGTGGCAAATAGAGGGGCGTCTGAATTTCATCCAGGACTTCGGAAGCCTTTCAAGGAATGTTGTTTCAGAGATTCTGACAGATCTTGGTGTTGTTAGCAAAGGTGGAGGTCAGGGTCTATTTCACTTTCGTTTTTTAAAAAATAATATAGTAGTTTATTTTTACATCATTTTGTGCCTTTTCCCATCTCAGCTGTAATCCCTGTTGGCTTCCCATCACTAAATTACCCTGTGCCATCACCATAATTCGGTGCATTTCCCTCCCCCCACTGTTTTTGATCCCATTCCCCACTCCACCTCCATAAAATGTCTATTTCACTTTTATTTAGGAAAGCACAGTAAGGCTATTTCTGGGTGTGGAAGATCAGACCTAGTACACAGTCAGATGAAGGTGCTGGGAACTATGGGGCATAAGGGGAAATAGGAAATGAGGTTGGCAAGGGAGGGCTGGGACTTTGGGTGCCAGGTGGTAGAGTTTGGACTCTGTCCCTTAGCTATGAGAGCTGGAACAGGGGTTCTGGGTTAGGACAGGACAGAGAGACACCTGATTAAGAGTCACTACAGAGGTCCAGGCCAGTTAGGACAAAGACCTGAGTAGCAGCAGGTGATGATGAAGGAGCAGGCGTGAAGAAAATTCAGGAAAGAGAAGAGAGGGCTTGCCCATAGATGGGTAATCGAGAAAAGGCTGGATTTTGCTCTGGGGTAGGGTGGTGGAGGGCTGCTTCTCCAGTGTCCTCCAGCCCCACCCTGCCTCCCCCACTCACCATGCTTATCCATTCCTCCCGAGGCTGTGCACCCTCTTCCCTTGACCAGAGATTGGGGTGTCAGGGGTTGCCAGAACCCATAGAATTTACTCTGTTTTCTAGGGCCTCTGTTGGGTCACAAGAGGGGTGGGGCTAGAACCTCACTGCTCAGAGTTCTGTTGGGAATAGCTACCTCCTAGAGACTCCAAAAACTGGTGCCCCCTACCTTCCCTCTTGGGAAGGCTTTAGAGAGGAGGAAGGGTGGCTCTGTACCCCAGTAGATGGAATTCTCATTCCTACCACATAAATATAGAAAGCTCCTTAGTCTTCTCCATGTTACCTCTCCATCAGTGAGGGATGTCTCTTCTGTGGTCAGAGATGGTGGAATGGTACCAGACCTTACCCAGCCCACAGAAATCACTCAAAGCACTGTGCTTATTTGTGCCATTATTCTCCTTCCTCCCCTTTCTTTCCTATCCCTATGCTCATTCCTCAGGCCTGCTCCTCCCTCCACCCACTTCCAGCTCATTGCCTTAGCAACGAGGAGCAGAGGAAATGGCATCAGGCCCAATGGGAAGCAGGGTTCAGGGAAGCCAGGTGCAGCTTCTGAATGGGGTCAGAGGGAGCACACACACACACACACACACACACACACACACGAGTTCTAGGATAGAGAATTAAATAATTAAATCACAGACACTTTGGGAAACTCCTTTTCCTGTCCTACAGTTGGCAGAAACGGGAGCGTACCAAGGGGCAGAGGATGGAGACCCAATGCTGGAGCACCTTAGTCTGTGGGACATAGTTGCTGATGAGGGGGATTCCAGTCTGATAGAGTAAAATGATACAGCCCAAGTCTGATGTGGAGGGGAGTGGGGGCCCCTCCCTTCTGATATCTCCCTGGTTAGTGGAGGCAGAGAGGTGGGATATAGCATAGGACTCTTGTAGTGTTAAGGGGAAGGATGTCCTAAAGGAACTCTGCAGAGTCTTGTGGACTCCACCCCCTACTCCAGCTTTCTGGATTCCACCCCTACTCCAGTGATTGGAAACTACAACTCCCAGCAGTACCAGGGAGAGAACTGCGAGGATCCAAGGGCAGAGCCAAGCAGGCATTCTGGGACTTTGGGGGATAAATAGGGCACCATTGCTCCTTTCTTTCTCTCTCCCCCCTTTTTCTCCCCCTCTCCCTCTCCCTCTGGACTGCTTGACTCTGCGTTTTCAGTCAGCTCTCTTTCCCTGGGTTGTCCCTTTTTTTGAGGTAAACCCATTTTGACCTTTTTGTGTGTGCCTGCAGTATAACTGAATTTTAAGCACACAGGTGAGGCCCCACCAACAGGCAGCCCAGTTCACTGTGGGCTGCCCTGTACCACTAGGACTCTCCTAGTCATACTGGGGGACACTGTCAAGAACTGGAATAGGTCTGAGATTTTACCCTCCTTGCAAGCTAGCAAATCCAGCTGCTGTAGTTTCCAGGTGCTGCCAGAAAGCCCAGGGCTCCTGGGTCAGAGACAAAGGCCTTCATTGCTCATGGCTCAGCAGCGGCAGCAGATTTGTGTCAGCCTGCTTGGTCCCACTGGCACAGATGCCACAGGGCTGGGTGCCATTGAGACCTGCACGTGCAGTGTTGACATACGAGGGGAGACCTGGCTTAGGAAACCCGGACCTTTTTTTTTTTTTAATAACAGTTTATTTTTACATCATTTTGTACATTTTTTTCCCATCTCAATTATAATCCCTGCGGGAAACCCAGACCTTTTATGAGCAGTAACCAGCAAGCAATTCTTTACTCCAGAAAGAAATACCATCTCTATCTTTACATGAACACCCTTCAAAAGTCACTGCCTCTGTTTATAAGACAAGCTGAAACACAAAGATAACTGTGCCCCAACAATCCCATTCTTCTTACATTCACAGAAAGAAGTAGCCATTAGGCTCTTGGTTGCAAAACTGAAAAGCACATTCTGGCTAATTAAAAAAAAAAAAAAAAGAATAGCGGAAACATGGAGCTTCCCTTCGACCCAGCAATCCCACTCCTAGGTATCTACCCAAAAGACACAAAAACACTGATTCAAAAAGATACCTGCACCCCCATGTTTATTGCTGCTTTATTCACAATTGGAAAGACATGGAAACAGCCCAAATGCCCAAAAGTAGATGACTGGATAAAAAAGATGTGGTACATATATACAATGGGATATTATTCAGCAACCAAAAAAGAGAAACACATGTCTTTTGTAGCAACTTGGATGGAGCTGGAAAAGATCATGCTTAGTGAGATAAGCCAGAAAGAGAAAGAAAAATACCGGATGGTTTCACTCATAGCAGGAGTATAATGGACCAGGCGAGAAAATAACAAAAATAATGAACAACCATATACCAGAGACATTTTGTGGGGGTGGAGTGGGGAATGGGATCAAAAATGGGGGAGGGGAAAGGGAGGGAAGTGCACAGGATTATGGTGATGGCACACGGGTGACTTGGTGATGGGAAACCCGCGGCGATTACAATTGAGATGGTAAAATGCACAAAATGATGCAAAAATTATTATAAAATTTAAAAAAATTAAACACACACACGCAAAAAAAAATAAAAAGACAAATGTAAAAAAAGAATAGCGGGGGGCCACAGAATGCCTAGCAGATCTGACAATTGGCCAGGGACCAAGGGAGGCTAGTGACCATGCAAACAGCCACGATTACCACAGGAACAAGCCAGTGAGGCCATTGCTAGCGTGACTCCTGGACATCAACACCAAGAGTAACTCGTGAGTCCCTAAAAGTGAAGGGGAATCTCCCTGCTTTCCTCATCCCTCCTCTTGGTTGCAAAATGGCTGCTGCAGCTCCAAGCATCATGGCCCCTGTGACCATGACAGAGCAGGAAGGAAGGGGCTGCAGGGCTCTCAATCTAACGACTGCTCAGAGGTTCCAAGAGAAGCAGACTTGTGTCAGAACTGAGGTACACAACCATCCTTAAACCAACCATTCTTGAGGAGCAATGGATGGCCATGCTGGCCTCGGGGGTTCTAAGTGGTACCTTTGATCAAGTAAGACTCAAGGAGAACAGTCCTAAAATGAGTGCTTTTCGCCTCCTCTAGTCCTTCATACCTGCTGAAGAGGAGGAAATTTTCCTTCCCTTGTGCCTGGAGGATAATTCAGATAGGCCCTAGACTTGTTCAAAGAACCCCGTGGTCTGTGGTCACTGAAAGTTGATAAAATGCTACATGTCCTCTGCCTCCCCTCTCCTGCTCCTGCCTGGTGACCGGAGCTTGAAAGAGAATGAGGTGGGAGACAGAAAGGTCATTCCACCCTCAGTCTCTCCCCCTCAGCTAGCCAACCACCCTTCTCTGCTTTCCTGGCCCCAATGCAGCAGGATCCACTGTGCCCAAGAAGGCATCTCCCTTGTCCCTTGTGGTTATGATTGTTTAGCCCCCCTGTTGCTGCTGTAACAAATTAGTACAAACTGAGTAGCTTAAAACAACACAGTTATTGGCTCTCCCTGGTGGCACAGCAGGTTAAAGCACAGCACAAAGAAGCTTAAGCCAATTCCGCATGAGTTCGATCCCTGCCTGCCCCAGAGGTGACCACATGGCCCGGCAGACCTCTCCTGGCCCACCTGCTGCTCCCCTCAGCAGTGTGCTTCGTCGATCTGCCTGTTCTGCTCCCCACTCTGTCTCTGGTGAATCCTGTCACCCTCCTCATCTCTGGCCTGTACCCCAGTTCTGTATGAATAAACAAATCTTTAAAAAAAAAAACACAGTTACTCTTTTGCTGTTCTAAAGGTCAGAAGTTGGAAATAAGCCTCACAAGACTAAAATCAAGTATTAGCAGGTTTTTTCTGCAGGTTCCCAAGGAGAATTTGCTTCTTGCTTTATCCAGCTTCCAGAAGCTGCTGGAATTCCTGGCTAGTGGCCCCATCACTCTCATCCCTGCTTTGGCTGACAAATCTCCTACTTCAAACTGCACCCGCTTCATACTGTGATGGCAACTCTCCCCATCTCAAGATCCTGCATCCCATCTGCCAAGTCCCTTTTGCCATATAAAGTAACAGTCACAGGTTGTGTGGATTAGGAAGCAGCTATTTTGGGGAGCCATTATTCAACCTACCACAGGACATACAGCACAGTTGCAATTTTCTTGAGATAAATCTTTACTAATTCTCTCCCCATCTGCAACAACCCAAGTCTCTATGCTTTAGTGGGAGAAAAGTCTGAGAGCTAAGTGAGCTGATTTTGGATAAAGCCTAGATAAATCCTACCTCTGGCTTTATTCCTTTCCTGGTTTGCTTCATCTATTGGATCTTGGTGCTCTTGACCAAAACGTCAATTTTAACTCTGCCATAACTGACTGAGACCTTTCAAGCTTCATTCTGGGGAGGGGTCCACCTTCCCTAATTTCTCTCTCTTTTTAAGATTTCATTCATTTATTTTTTAATTAGAAGTGGGGTGCAGGCCCAAGGTGGGGGTTATGGTCAGACGATTCACCAGAAAGAATGGGGAGCATAAATTCACTGCGGAAGGGAGCAGCAGGTGAAGACAGGAGAGGTCTGCTTGGCCATGTAGGTCACCTCTTTGGGGTGGGCCTTCGCTAGGGCAGCACTAAGACTTAACCCCTAAGCCACCAGGGAGGCCCTACCTTCCCTAATGTCAAGGAAGTTCTACTTCATAGCAGGACAGAGTTGGATTCTATTAGCAAGAACTCAGAGTAGGATTCCTCTGTATTTGGGGTAGCCAGTCTCCAAGGTAGTGCCCAATGATCCCGACCTTCAAGTCCTCATGTCATCTCCTCTCACCCTAGCCCACCCTCAACAACCAACAAGAAATAAGCCTGAGCTGGGTAGCTGTGCTGGGAAATCTGGAGCTGTGAAGTAAAGAACAGCTGGAGCATGACCTGCCTCCCACCCCAGGAAGTAGAGACACAGGATTCATTACTTGTAAGTTCCAGCACGGGGCCAGGAGGGAGTCAGGGAGCAGGAAGGTGGCCCAGGTCACGAGCAAGCAGGCAGTAAGCGCCTGTTTCTTCTGAGGTGGCTGGGGCTGTGGCCATCACTTTTCAGGGCTTGACAGCAGTGGTTATTTGAAAGGGGGCCTAGGAGAAAGCCAGGTGGAATCTGTGCTGGAGCACTAAGCTCAGCCTCGCACCTCACTCTCCAGATGGAGAGCGAGCGGGTCCTTGTGTACAGTGCCTGGCTAGCACCTCAGAACAACGGAGAGCGCCTCATCATAGTAGCTGACAGGATGTTGTGGAAATGTAACAGGGTGATCCCTAGGAAAAGGGGAAGTTCAGGTTCCCTGCCCTACCCAGAAGGAGGGTGGAGCTGAGCAGAGAAAAAGGAGAGAAGAGAAGGAAATGAAACAGGATGGAGAAGGAGGAGACCTAAGGAAGCCACATGGAGCAGCAAGCATGTGATGAAGAAACCGCGCTTGTTCCCTGACCCTGGACTGGTTAAGGCAGATGTGGGTGAGAGACCTGTAGGGAGGTGACTATGGCAGTGTTTATATTGATTTTGATTTTGCTCCCAGATTTGTCTGGCCATTTCTGACCCTTTTCCATGGGTCCCGGCCAGAAGGTGCTTTAGTCTTGTGGCAGCTTTCAGGCCTTGCTTTGGGCCAATCCCTTTTGGGTGGACTTTTGCCCACAAGGAGATGGGTAACTTCGGGTGTTTGATTTAGAAGTTATATTCTTTGTGTTCCATATTGTATATTTACTGTATTAAAGTCCCTTTTCATTAAAGTGTTATATGTTTTGTCTTGATGCAGTGGATGGCAGAACCCACTTAGAGCAGGCAGGTTTGGGGCTTCAGGGGTGCCCCTCTCTCCCTGTCCTGTAACAGAAATATCAGTGTGTGGCTTCGAGACTAGGTAATAAAAGACCCTGTGGCCTCTGCTTCCTCTTGCTTTGGGGAGCCAGCTGCCATGTCAGGAGGGCAGCCCTGATTCACCCCTGGGGAGAGGGCCGCCTAGTGAGAAACTGAGGCCTCCTTGCAACTTTTGTTACTTCCTCATCCACCTAGTCTTGATGCCCTTAGAATGTAAGAAGGAAAATTACCTTCAGGAAGCTTTTTTTTTTAAATCCCAGCATGATCTGGGGTCCCATGACCTCTTGGCCTCATGCCCTTCCTCTCTGCTATTCCTGGACAGGCCAAGCACGCTCCTGCCTGGAGCTTTTGCACTGGCTGACCCCACTGACTGGGTGCTCTTCCCCGAATGGCTGCAAGATTCACTTTCTTGCATCTGTCAGGTCTCCACTCAAACATCAACATATGAGCGAGGCCTTCCCTGACCACCTTCTATAAAATCCACACACAACCCTGTCTCCTTAGTTGTTTGTTTCCCCTTGTATTTGCCACCATTTGACTTACTACAGGTTTGTTTGCATCTATAAGGTCAGGGACCTCATTTTTGCTAAGCCTTAGGCCTATCATAGTGCTGGCACCCAGTGGGGACTCAAGAAATGTGTACTGAATGAACAATGGCTGTGGCCATGTGGGCTGCGGTACTAGGAGTGACAATGGATCTAGGAGAGGGGTGTGGTTGTGTAGGGAGAAGGTTCTCTAGAGAAAATGGGGTGCGTGCTGCAGAGACAGGGCTGCTGTGAGAATGGCTGGCACCTGGGCCCCACCCAGTCCCCAGCAAGTGTGTCCTGACAGTGTGGTACCTTCCACACACATCACTCCTGTTCCTTACAACCTCTGCGAGAAGCAGATTATCCCCATTTTACAGCTGAGGAAGCTTAAGCCACAGTGAGGCGAGGTAGGTAGGATATAAAGGTCACAGTGGGATTTAGCGAAGGGTCAAGGCTACGCAACTTCAAACTCCATCCATCTCTGCCGATTTCATCCCCAGCCTACAGAGCTCACTAAACACCAGGGGGCTCACACCCTGGCCCTGCTTTTGTCCCCCACTTCCCAGAAACCCCCACCTGAGTGAACGTGAGAGAAGGCAGCCCCAACCTCTCCTTCCTGCTCCGCTGGCTCCGGGCAGCTCTGTAGGGTGTGTAGTCCTAGCCGCCAGGAAGGGTTAACAAGGAGTGTTTGTAGCAGCGCTGTCTCCAAGGAGCAGAGGAAAGCAGAGTGGAGAGGAGTAGACAGCTACAGCCACGCCAGGATCCTCAGGCTGGTGGGGGTGGGAGGCTGCTGGCTTGACTGGTCAGCCCTTGGGGGGCAGAGGAAGGTCCTCACCCCCATCTGTCCTGGGAGGTGGCAGGCTGAGCAGACCAGCCAGCTGGAGAGTGAGGTTGCCATAGGAAAGTTCTGGAGAGTGAGGTTGCAAGTAGGAAAGTTCTGGCCTGGCCTGAATAATGTGGGGGTTGGGTGCTGGGCCTGGCCCAGTGAAAGCAGCTGGAGCAGGCTGCAAGTAGCAGAACCAGAAGTCCTGGGCTCTCGGATGGTAGACTTGGGGGATCCCCGAATCAGGGAGAAGCAGCCAAGACCAAGCAAGTGACAGGAGTGCCCACCTCCTCCCCCACTGAGGGCTGAGCCATGTCCCAGCCCAGGGGCCACGGGAGGAGGAGGCCTGGGCCCCTAGGACCCCCAGTGCGCAGCATCCGGCCCTTTAAGTCCAGTGAGCAGTACCTGGAAGCCATGAAGGAGGACCTGGCCGAGTGGCTGCGGGATCTCTACGGGCTGGACATCAATGCAGCCAACTTTCTGCAGGTGCTGGAGACGGGCCTGGTCCTGTGCCAGCACGCCAATGCCATCACCGAGGCCGCCCTTGCCTTCCTGGCGGAGGCGCCTATCCAAGCCCAAAGGATTCTCATGCCCCGGGCTGGGGTTCCCTGCAATGGGACCGCCCAGCCAGGCACCTTCCAGGCCCGGGACAATGTCTCCAACTTCATCCAGTGGTGTCGCAAGGAGATGGGCATCCAAGGTAACTGTCCGGGACCCCCCTCCCCAGATCCTGACCTTGCCCGACACACAGGTCCTCCCTGAGGCACAGACTACAGCTCGGGTGGAGAGGCGGCCTACTTCCAGCTTTGCTGTGGGTCCACGCATCCCACTTCATGCCTGCGCCCCCCCACTTCATGCCTGACCCCCCATCTCAGAGTACATGCTCACTGTCTCGATTGAATGATTCATTCAGTCATTTGACAATCTACCGAATACCTGTCTCCTTTGTGAGGAGATAAATAAAATACAGTCCCAGGCGCAAGAATCTCTAAGTGGAGATGTATATGGTGGGAAGTCAAAGGAGAAAACTGTTACCTTAATGGTGGAAGTGGGGTTCAAGGAAGCTGCACAGTGAAGGAGATCTGAGTTTTAGGGACAAAGAAGTTTTGGGACAAGAAAGGAAGGGAGTCCTAGGTATGATAGCTGGGTCGAAGGCGAGGAACAGGCACTGTGTCTGGATGACAGAGAAGTTGGGGTAGGGAAGGGCCTCAGGTGGGGACAGGACTGAGGAGGAGTGTGGACATGAAGGAGGGGCCATCTTGCTGGAACTTGTGAGGCTGGGCAGGGGCACCCTATCACGACCCCTCATCTCGGCCTTGTACCCCAATGGGATGAGGTGGGTGTCATGCCATCCTCTAGGCCAAAGGCAGAGGGGCTGAGACGCTGGGAGGGATCTGGTGGGGGTGAGGCAGTGAGGAGCAGGACTGGAGTTGATAAACGGATGGGTTTTATCAGGTCCTGATCCAGCAGCAGACTTTGTAAATACATAAGGACTATCCTCACACCAAGGCCACAAATTCACTCTATTCCCATTTCCCATCTAGACCGGCTACATGACTGGACCAGGTCACTCAGCTGGGGGCGAGGAGGGCTGGGTTCCAACACTGAGGCCTCCAGAGCTGACCCAGGGCAGTGGGGCTCCAGAACTGACCCAGGGCAGGGGGCTCCGGAGCTGACCCAGGTCTGCTGGCTGCCTGTTGATTCTGAGGTGCCTGCAGGTTGTTAGAGCTGAGAAGCCAGGCGGAAATGGAATTGTTCCTTGCTCCAGACCCATCCTGGCAGACAGAGTTGGAGAAGGGGAAGGCGCAGTAACCCTTCTGTCCCCGTGGCCCTCAGCCAGCTGCAAGGTTCCCCTGCCTGACCGAGTCACCTCCCCCAGCCCAGCGCCCCGTTAGATGAGCCTCCCAGTCTGCATAGGGGGGGGGGTGCTGAGCAATTCTGCCAGACCCCACGTCGAGACTGGCTTCACTCCGAGATCCCGAGACCCAGACCACCCCCATATCTGCCACCGGGTGTCAGGGATGCCCCCCACCCCCACCCGATCCCCACTTTCCCGCTGGCTCGGGGAGGTCAGCAGCTGAGCTGACTCTGCTCCCCACCACTCCTCCCTCCCGCACTTGCCAGAGGTGCTGATGTTCGAGACCGAGGACTTGGTGCTGCGCAAGAACGTGAAGAACGTGGTGCTGTGTTTGCTGGAGCTGGGCCGCCGGGCCTGGCGCTTCGGCGTGAAGGCGCCCACCCTGGTGCACCTGGAGGAGGAGATCGACGAGGAGCTGCGGCGCGAGCTGGCGCTGCCGGCGCCCGACCCGCCACCGCCCGCGCCTCCGGCGCGCCGGGCCTGCCACTTCCGCAACCTGGACCAGACGGTGAGGAACGCGGCTCAAGCCCCTCCTCGGGCCCGCCGTGCGGCTTCCAGGCCGCCTCTTTAGCTCCAATCTGCACAGGGGCCCCAGCGCAGGCGGGCAGTTGCAGCAGGGCCCTTGGTGACTTTGCACTCACAGATCCCACGCCCGCACCTCGCTCGATTCCCTGCTCCCTTCAGTCTCCGATGCTTGGCGGCTGTGAGGCTTGGGGCTAGTTAGTGAACCCTTCGTTGCCTCGGTTCCCTTATCTGTTCCCTTATCTGCGTGCAGGGCTCCTAAGGGGGCCCCCACCCCCAGGCTGTGCTAGTGAAGCCCGCCCAAGCCAAGTGCTCAGAACAGCGTCTGACCCGGGAAGGCGCTTCACAGGCGGCAGCTGTTACTGTGATTAAATTTCCCCCACGGAGAACTCCAGCTGCTCCCTTAGCATCCCTTCGACATGGCGGGATAGGGCGCCAACAGAAACCCGTCAGGCTCCACAGACCACACCTCCTTCCCCACTAAATTCCACCGCCATCAGCTGGGCCCAGGGTGGGGCGGGTAGGCGCTCAAGGCCCTGTTCTCCGGGATCCTAAATGTCTTTTCTGCTCTTTCAGCCTCACAGAAGCTTCTTAGGCTCTAGGGGCAGACAGGCCCCCCTTTGGGCTTGGCCCAGCACGGGGGTGGGGAGACTGGGTGCCTGGGCAGAGGGGTGCTGAGCCCATTCATTCCTTGCCCACTGCCCACAGGTTCAGAGCCTCATGAGTCACTGCACATGCCCGGTTCAGTTCTCCATGGTCAAGGTTGCTGAGGGCAAGTACCGCGTTGGGAACTCCAACAGCCTCATCTTCATCCGGGTGAGTCCCCGGACAGGGCTGGAGGGGCCCCAGGACAGGCTGACAGTTCCCCTCCGTGGGCCCTGCCAAATGTTGGGAGCAAGGACAGGCAGTCGCCACTCACCCCCACTTTTCAGGTCTTGGGGCTTGCTTTCTCTCCCTTGGAAAATTCCAAGATAAGATTCCCTGAGAAGCTGGCAAGCCTGTCTCCTCCTCCTGTTAGGGCCGCTGAACCACCATCCTCTATCTGCCTCCACCTCAGCCTAATCCGGAGAGTGCCCGTAGGCAGAAGTAGGGTGTGAAGGGTGCTCTTATTTTCCCATCACCTCCATTCCACCCACAGCACAGGCTTGGGCAGAGCAAGGAGCCTGAGATCCCAAGTTAGTGTTCAGCACATGGTCCATCCACACAAACCCCGCAGTCCACCTCTTGAAGGCCTGACTGGCTCCCTTCTGCAGAATGAGCACTAGCAAGGTCTAAAACGCCCCCACCCCACCCTTGGCCCCGCATCACCAGAAGCAGTCCGTACCCAGCAGCTCAGGGGCATAGCCGAACCCTTTACTTGTATACATACCACTCCCGGGGGGCAGAGACAGCTCCCTGGCCCTCACCCAGACCCTAAGCCAAAGCCTGCAACGTAGCTATGAGTAAGGCACTGTGGCCCATTTCTCAGCTGAAGAAATGGAAGCCCTATGAGACTCCGCGGGTGCCCTAGAGTGGAGTGTGGCTGAGACCCCCATGGGTTCTTTGGCAAGACAGAGCAAAGCCAGGGCCCCATTTCTGATGCCAGCATGTGCAGGCGCAAACCCTTTGGCGGTGAAGAGAGAGAAGCATGGTTTGGTGTCCACCTGCACGGGCTGGTGAACTTTCTGTTTGTCAGCCTGGCCTCCACCCTTGACAACTCATGTTATCTGATGCCAGTAACGGAGGAGACGTAGGATGCAAAAATGCCAACTCCCAACTACACGTGAGCAGACATGGATGGGAGTTTGCACTGGAAGCCTGTGTTCTGGTCCTGAAGAGGGGACACCTTCACCCTACCCTCAGTCCCACCCTTGCCCCCTGCAGATGCTCCGGAATCACGTGATGGTGCGTGTCGGGGGCGGCTGGGACACTCTTGGCCATTATTTGGATAAACACGACCCTTGCCGCTGCACGTCCCTCTGTGAGTCCCCTGGGCACTCCTTTCCTGGGCTCTGGGTCGGGCAGCTACAAGCAGAGGTGCAAGGGGTGTGCAGGGATGAAGGAAAATACCAGAGAAAGTACAGTTGTGCCCTCAGCTCTGAGAAAACTAGGCCACCATGGTGCTATACCAGTTATAGCTACTAGGTGGCGCCAAACACAAGAGAATCAGCATTATCTGTGACTCTTGGCAATCAGGTCTGGCTCTAGCCACAGGGGTAGCTTCAAGCATGGTCACCTGGAGGGGTCTTATGTCTTCTGATCATCTCCACCAGTACCTTGAGCCACCCCAAAAAGCATGTTATCAAAGTAAAATGTGTGGACTTGCAATACTAATACAGCTAGAAACAAGCACCTTAGCAGAGCCCTCTGACCAGATTTCACCCCTAACCGACTCCTATGAGGAAATTCTGGCTCTCTCACGGTAGGCCCCCCTCTCTCTAACAGGGGATGTGTGGTGTGGAGCAGCTGGGGAGGGGAGCTGTGGGCCCCATCCGCAGGAACTTAATCCTCTCCTCCTCTCCTCTCTCTGGGGCTCTGTGTTGGTAGCACACAAGACGGGCAGCTTCCTGAAGCCCCCCGCCCCACCGGTGCAGCATGAAGTACGGGTGCAGGACGGGCCCTCGCAGCCCCAGCCTACAATGACCATCAGCCGGGCCCAAAGCCCGCTGCCCCCTGTGGACTGGAAGACATATACCTCTTCAGGCCGAAAGCTGAGGCCCCCTACACCCTCCTCCCCAAGACCCTCCAGAGAATGGGGAGCAGGGGCAGGGGGCCCCCAAAAGACAGCACCATTCCTGAGGTACAGGGGAGGGTCAGGGCGGGGCCTTGCTTGCTCACATTCTCAGAGGCCACTCCACCCCAAATGAGGGGTGTAGGTCTCTCATCAAGGCCCCCACTGCAGTATGAACCAAAGTTCGGAGCCCCAAAAGCACCCCTCCTTCTGCAATCTCCTGACTCCTTCATATGCCCTCCCATTTCACATATGAGGAGGCTGAGGCCCAAGGTCCTCCTGCCATTTCATGGTAGAGCAAAAGCACAAACTAAGACCCCACCCCCACCCAAGGCGGGTGACCTCGAAGCAGGATCTCAAGTAAGCGAGGACCAGGCTTACTCCCAGCTGCTGAGCAGGGCACAACCGAGAATAAGATTAAGCATCTGCCACGAGGAACTCTGGGCAGGCACGCAGGGACAGAGCACATGTTTCATTCAGCATGGAGTCTGGCCCCTGGGTGTTCTAGCTGGGGAAAGGCCATCCCTTCTCAGAGTCAGGCCTCTGGACTAGATGACACACACAGCCTTATGCTTTTCCCTTTCAGGTGCCAGGAGAAATCTTTCATTCCGTCTCGGAGGCAGCTGTCAGCTGGGGGTAGCCCGTCCAGCCCTCAGTCCTCTCCCACCCATAGGGCCCAAGAGCCATGGTGTACTTCCTTGAGGGAGAGAGAGGACAGACATTCTCCTGACCTTGCCCTAGGCAGGCGTTCCATATCTGCAGTTCAAGAGAAGACAGAAAGTTGGGGAACCCATGCCAGGACCCTCATCCCTCAGAGACTCATTGCCAAAGGGACACTAGCAAGAGGACCGTCTCCACTGCCTCGTCCCTGCAGCCCAGTCAAACCTGTGAACCTCAGGCCACCCCCCTGGGGTGAGGCCCAGAGTGCCTCCGCCCAGCTCAGTGAGCCGACATCTGTCCGGGCTCCATCTCCAGTTAAAGGACCCACCAAGATTCCTGTCCGGCCACCACTATCCCGCCCCCCAACTCCAGGAAGAAACTTTGAAGGGACTGGGAATGGGGGTCCTAAGACAGAATCAGGGAGTGGTCCCACCCCATTAAAGACCACCTCTGGGGACATGTCTGAGTTCAGACATGGGATCTGCATTGTACGGGGAGGGCAAGGGGAGCAGAAGCCAGACAGCCGAGTGACAGGAGAGTCTGAGCAGTCCCAGGGTCTGGGCGCTCAGGAGCAGGAGGGGAAATGCCCTCCCTTGTCCCTGGGCAGGACCAAGGAGCAAGCCATCTACCACAGCCTCGAGGAGGAGCTCTTGGCCAACATGAAGCTGCTACAGGTGGGGGGTACCCGCCCCCAGAGCACAGGGACTGGGGTCATCCCTCGAAGTGGAGTTTATGTGCCCAGTCTGGGTGGGCGGTGGCCTGAGCCAGGGGGTCCTTATGACAAAGTCATCCAAGAATTGGCTCGGGGCCCCCCACCCCTCCTTAAAGTGGACATAGGAGCCTGGAAGGCTGCCCCTACAAGCTCCCCCAAGCTGGCTGTTACTACAGGCCTGGGTAGCCCGCAAGGGAAGCCAGGAAGCAGTGAGAGTGAGCCAAGCAGGAAGGTGCGCCTGGATGCCAAGGGATCCAGCAAGAGGACACCACCCCCAGGAGGGCAGAACTGCTCAGCCCCTCCTGTGTCTGCTGACCCAGATAACCCCACACCTCCACCCTCAGACCCCAGTTCCAGCAAAGCCAAGGCATGTCCAAGCAAGGGCAAGAGAACACTCCGGAGGCCACAGAGAGTTCCCTCCATCTATAAGTTGAAGTTGAGACCCAGGATTCGGCCCAGGAGAGACCACAGGCCTGAGAAGCGGCCTTCGCGGATCCCCAAGCCGCTGGCCTACCTCCACCTGGGTTCAGCCAAGGTGCCCCCCAGGCGCAGGCTCGTGAGAGCAGTGCTGGGTGGCAAGGGAGGGCAGGCAGCGGCGATGGACGGAGCCTCACCAGCGCAGGACGGAAGAAAAGAGAGGAAAGAGCCAGCCACCTCACTGGAGAGCACCCCTGGGCCTTCGGAGGGCCTGGGGCCTCAGCAGCTTGACCAAGCCCCCCTCCCTCCAGAGGAGGAATCCTGGGTCTGAGGAAGGCTCTTCGCCACCAGGCTGTGACTGTTGGGGTGGCAGAAAAATTTGCCTATGTAGCTACTGGACTCCCAGCTGCAGGAGCAGGAGGGATGACCCCTCCCTCAACGCAGAGCCTTGGTCAGGAGGGGGTCAAAGGCAAACATGGACTCAGTCTGCGCAGCTGAGCACAGAACAAATCACCAAATCACCAGCCCTAACACCAACTCCAGGAGCTGTGAAACCACCCTTATCCTGTTGTCCTCCTCCAGAACAGCTCCCCAAACTCTTGGCCCCAGGCCACATCCACCATTTCCACAACTCTGAGAAGTCATTAAAGATATGTGGGTCTGTCTTTGACCTCCATCTTCTTGAGTCCCTCACTTTAGGACTGTGCTGGTTCAGGAAGGTGTAGCTTCAGACATCTTCCCACAGCAGAGAAAGGGACAAAGAGAAAGGGGCTAGGGGTGAAAAAGGCTTCTCTCCATAGGCTCAGCAAACATTGCCAGACAGGCCGCCTCTCTGAGAAGTGCTCCGTGCATCAGCACCATGGACAGGGAGTCGACCCTCCAACACAGGTTCCGGCAGGCACTGCTCTGGGGGCTGGATGCTGAGATCATGCAGCTGAGGGGGACAGTTGAGAGTATTCTTAACAGATCTCTGTGAGCGAAGATATAAACAAGGGGGAAAGAAGACACAGAAGCAGGAAGAGGCACTGAGACCAGTTAGGAGTTTTCCAGAGTAAGAGTTCTGAGTCCCCTCTGGGTATTCTGATCACTTGGAGGCAGGTGGGGAGCTGAGTTCTGGATGCCCTGGGCTTGAGACACAGGGTGAATTCCTTGCCTTTACTTTCCTTTACATCCAGCCCTTTAGAGGACCCCTTCCCTCCTACTGTCAAAAATGGAGCCAATACCTTGGTACAGAAAGGAGGGAAAACACTCCCTGATTTTTAATCTGACTCCAATCACAGCGCAACGGGCATCACACATACTTCCAGACCCTGTGGTGGGAAACCCGGTGGGGGGAGGGTGGGGGCAAGGGGAAGGACAGAGACTCAGAATGGGGGTGAAAGGAATCCAAATCAAAGACCTGGGGTGAAGTGGAGGGGGGTAAGGGGGCCAGCCAGGCAGTACATTCCAATGGCTCCCACAGGGGCAGCCAGAGGCCCGGGGCCCCCAACTCCACCTCAAGTGCCTCAGAACTGGGGGTGACGGTGATGGGGCAAGTTAGATGCTGCCATCTCTCCCCCTGTCTCCCTGGTGAACCAGGGGGACTGGCCCTCTTCCTTACCCTCCCAGCCACTTCAAGGTGTGGGGGAGGGGAGCCACTTCCTCTGTTTCAGAGGGAGGCTCAGAGAGGGCAGGTCACTTGTCCAGAGCCAAGCAGCACAGCAGGGACTAGACCCCAGGAGTACCTGACAGGTGACCACCCAGGCCCCAGCAGTCCTGCAGGGCTGTGCTAACCCCGCTGGGTGGCGGGGAGTCAGCTGGGAGGCAGAAGAGAGAGCTGTGAATCTCTCACACTGGATCTGGATGATAAATCCCCTACCCATCATCCCTCGCCCAGGCCCCCTCCATCGCCAATGGGCTACTTAATTTCCTAGTCTGGGTTGTTCTGCCCTTCTTCCAACAAGGGACCCTTTCATCCTCCCACAGACCAGGGCTGAGCCTCAGCCTCAAGGAGAATGTGGCCAGAGGAAGCATACCATCTCTCCCTCTCCAGGTCCCCCAGTAATCCCTTAGGCCACTCCTAGTAGCTTCATTATTTTTGTTATTTCAAATCGGTACAAAACTGACAGTGATCAGCTCCGATGACGAGAGGTAGAAACCCGGCCAGGCGGCCAGAGAAAATGGAGTGGAGTGAATTAGGGCACGGGCCAACTGGTGTCGGGATGAGGGGGTGTCGGATCCTGGGGGCCTCCATCTAGAGGTGGGGTGCGGGAGTGTCTCCTCCAAGCACAAGGGTCCTCAAAATGATTTTTCTGGCTCTGCCCCTCCCCAGATTAATCAGGATAATCTGAGACTCAAGGCAGATAGCAACTGGGGCAGTCAGATTGGGGTGGGGTGGGGAGACAGATCCTCCCCCTGGGCACCACCCTCCCCCCCACCAGACCCCAAACCCAACATCCCCCAATCTGACAGACCACCCAATACAGGAGGGAATAGAGGACTGGAACCTGTCACCATGGAAATAAATCTATCTTTTGGGGAGGTTCCCTCTCCACACTGTCAAAAAAAAAAAAAGTTTTAATCCAGGGGATGATCTGGCTTTGGGGCTGGGTAGGGGTTTTGGGGCACCCGGCAGGGACAGACAATCGAGTTAAGGCTGGAAGGTAGGTTGTTGTGTCTCTGGGGTCTGCTGGGAGGGGAGGTCTCCCTGAAAGGGGGGAGAGCTCAGTCTTCTCCCCCTGGCTGATCTGGGACCTCAACCCTCAGACCCCGGCTGTGGTCCTTGGGGCACCCGCACCTCTCTGCCCCGTGCCAGTTATGCTGACGGTCAGAAGGCTGGCCTCACAAAGAAGCTGCCAGGATCTGCAACAGGGGGTTGGGTGGAATGAGAGCCCTGTGAACGGAGCTGGAGGTGGAGGGGGTGGGCGCAGGGG